GGAGTGTCCTTTGTCTCCCTTCTCAAGGGAAGACAAACTGGTTCTGCAAGTGTGTTGGTAAGAGAATGGTGGGAAAGACATTAGCTAAGTTCAAGGCAGAGTCAAGGGAGGATGGAATTTTTTCCCCTCAATACCCCTGTGTAACATCAGGCACCACAGCACGGGTAGGAGGTATCATTCTATTTAGCTCTCGATGGCTAGCAGTCAATTCTGTAAGTTCCATTGGGCTTTTTCACCAGCGGGACAAGTTACTGAAGTGTTACTGAAGGGGCTGTGTTATTGAAGGTACTGCGGGCAGATAGTAAAATCACAACCTGCTCCAGTTCTTTCTCAGGCTCTCTACTCTCAGCATGCACATTCGACAGCTATCTATTACCATCCTACAGGCAGGCAGGCTAATGGGGTCCCATTTTGCTTCCTCACTTAACACTGCCTTTGCTGCCTAACTTTGGACTGAAAGTCCCCCACAGAGGTCTATATTTTTCCTAACAGAATACCCACCCCCAGACTTTAGGGAACTGGGAAGATAATACAAAGTAAGAAGCTGTAGGAACTCCCTTAATTCTTAGATGTAACAATACCTGTGGTTCTCCAATGCTCTTAGCCTTATAGCCATCTATGACTGCCCAGGACCCCAGAGAATGCTCTCGGTTGTCAAGAATCAGTGTACATTCAGTATCTGCCCTACCACAGCAATCATCCTCCCCTTGTTCTGGGTGGAATCGTGAGCTCCGCATGAGGCTCCAGTTGCCCCGTGGGATATCCATCGCACCTTCCCTACGGGGAAAGGAGCCTCCTGCAAGGCTACCAAGACTGCATTAGGCTGCTTATCTTTTCTCTGAGGGTCACAGCATGAAGCGAGTCACGCCACATCTGCTTTCTTGTTATTTCAGCGGGCTCCCATTTCTTCTCTCTTGTCTTTTTTGTTTGTCTCTTTTTCCGTCAGCCTTCGTGACAAGGTGCACCTTGTTCTGACCACATTCCGCCTGTCCTAGCCTTGCACACACTATTAGAAAACCTGCCTGACAACGGAAAAAGGATCACACAATTCTTCGGCATTTTATGACACTTTACTTTTCATTCTGGCCATAAAAATCGCTTTATCTGGTCATTGAAACACCCCAGCATGAATGGGCTTGTTGAACGCCCAGCTCCCACAGAGTGCTGGGCGCAGTGAATGTGAACATCCCCTCAGTTGGCCATACCTCCTGAAATGACCCACTCTGTAAGGGTTTCCTTATATCTGCAGGCATTCTATAGATGCTAAGGGCTGGAGAAGTAGTAAGATTGTTCATTTTTTCAGCTCATTTCATGCCAGAGAAATGCCACCCCTTCCCGCGTCCCAGGGTCTCACCATCTAAGCAGTTAGGCTCTCGTGGGGCATTCGTTTTAAAGTTTCTCATTGGTTTGGTGGCACAGACCTGCAAACTCGGCACTCAGGGTCTCACTCTAGTCCAAACTGGCCTTGAACTCACTCCGTAACCTAGGCTAGCTATGAACTCATGATTCTCCTGCCTCAGGTATCTAAGCCTCAAGAAAGAAAGAGAGAAGAGAGAAAGAAAGAAAGAAAGAAAGAGAGAGAGAGAGAGAGAGAGAGAGGGAGAAAGAAAAGAAAGAAAGAAAGAAAAAGAGAGACAGAAAAAGAGAAAGGAGGGAGGGCAGGAGGGAGGAAAAAGAAAGAAAGGAAAGAAGAGGAGAAAGAATTACAGTACAGTATTTAGCAATTCAGCAGTATACTGATCTGGTTTCCGCAGTGGGACGGCTCCCCCTCGTGCCTCTGACTTGCGCTGCATTAACATCCAAGTGAAAATACAAATCTCACAGGCAGCAGGCGTGGGGGGAGACAGGAGGTAAGGAGTTCAATCTCATTTCTTCCTCACTCCCCGCTTCCCAAGGATTCCAGTTCTTCGCATCCCATCCTGACCTTGAGAAGACGGCTCACACTTGATTTTTCTTTCAGTTCTTTCCTTTTAGGGGCACAGTTCAGCACTCAAGGGTTTCTACGCTTAGTGTCTTGGGTCTTCCATTTTCTCACCCAAGTCAGAACCTGCGAGAGTTATCCACAAATCTCTGTATGTTGTGACCCTTTGTCTAATAGCTTATGCTTGTATCTGCAGCCAATTGGGCACTGATGGCCAACTGAACTCCCCAAATAGTGGCCATCTCACTAGGGCAAGACAGTCCCAGGGGGATAAATGGCATTCAGCAAACAGCTGCTCCAAACAGCAGCAAGTTGAGGGTATGGCCATAATCACTTGCGACCCACAAGCACTGAACGCAGGCCACCTCGTCCCACATGTAGTGGGATGGCTATTCAGGAATATCTGCTAATGCCTTTTTCCCTGGCCCATTTTCTGTCTCCTGGCTGGCCAATGGTGTTGGTGTATGAGAACCTGCCCCATAGTTTTTTTTTTTTTTTTTTTTTTTTTTTTTTTTTTTTTTTTTT